CCTACTGGGGATGTGCCCGCAACCAAGGTACATGCCCTTGACCGGAATCGAACCTGGGACCTTTCAGTCCGCAGGCCGACGCGCTATCCACTGAGCCACACCGGCTCGGGCCGGTGTGGACATTTTGATGGTCATTTCGTATCCAAACGAACAGGGCAGTCCATCCATTTCCTTATCTAAAGCCTGTCCTACAACAGTATGGGCCGTTTTGTGGAAAGATGTGTTCCAGATGTCGGCCGAAGTGTGTGTGTGTCACGGCCAAACAATTCTAATCAGTCAACTGGAAGGATCTACGCGGCCCCATCAAACAGAAGAAACGGAATCTCATGCTCTCAGATGGGGGACGTGCTTATGCCTGATGTGTACGTCGGAGAAGCCAGTTCCCAGAAATCACGTCTGGTATGTTAGCGCGAAAGCACCTTCCCTCCCCCCACAACACACACGCGTGTGGCTTTGGGGTGTAAATCCGTCTTGCAAAATGCTATGAAAAACATCTGCCAGGCACGCATCAGTCTGTGTGTGGTCTCCACCCTCCCGCAGGACAGGAAACGGGGCTGTCTGCTGAGAAGGGGATCGGCGGTTCCAAGCATCGTCCGTTCGGGGAGACGGGTTCAGGCTGCAGCTGTGTGTGGCGGGGGGAACAGGGAGTGGGCGGGCTGGACGCTGCCACACCTCGCTGTAGGCTCGGGCTGGTCCCGGAGCCGAAGGTCAAGGTCGTCTCGTTGGCTCCAGCAAGAAGACTTCGATGCGGCCCTGCCTGGTGTGGCTCAGGGGATAGAGCGTCGGCCTGTGGACTGGAGGGTCCCGGGGTCGATTCCGGTCAAGGGCACATGCCTGGATTGCGGGCTCGATCCCCAGTGGGGGGTGTGCAGGAGGCAGCCAATTCATGATTATCTCTCATCATTGATGTTTCTACCTCTCTCTCTCCCTTTCCCTTCCTCTCTGACATCAATACAAATATATCTAAAAACCAAATAATGTGTGATTATCAATAGTATGCATTCTCTCCTTGTTTCAGCATAACACATATTACTAAGGACTAGAGGCCTGGTGCATGAATTTGTGCACTGGCCGGCGGGTCCCCCAGCCCAGCCTGCAACCCCTTGGGGGATGTCCACCTGCCAGCTTAGGCTGACAGTCAGACATCCCTCTCACAGTCTGGGGCTCTCGCAGTCCAGGACCCCTAACTTCTTACCTCCCGCCTGCAGTGGAGGCAGGAGGAGCCTCGTCTGGGACCACTCCCTCCTTTCCACCCACCAGCTCGCTGTTCCTTAGTGCTACTGCGGTGGCGGGAAACACTCCTGCCTCCGCTGTGCTCGCCAGCGGTGAGCCCGGCTTCTGGCTGAGTGGCACTCCCCCTGTGGGAGCGTCTGCCCTCTGGTGGTCAGTGAGCATCATAGCAACTGGTCGATATTTCTACTGTGTGGTCGCTTTGCATATTAGGGTTTTATTATATAGGATGTCTCTGGGAGAGATCATGGTTTTACTGGGAGTCCTCAGTGAGGAGAGGAGACAGACAGGCGTCAGTCCCTGTGGGGGGCGGGGCCAGTACCTCCTGTCATCACAGTGGGGGTCGGAGCTGTTGTGTGGGCAGAGGACGGGGCGCGGCTGTATCCTCACGGTGCGACCCAGGCAGCGTCCGGGACACTGGAACAAAGCACGGGGCAGTGAGTTCGAGGGGCTGCCCCCAGGCTGGTAAGGGGGTTGTGCCCCAACCACCCTGATGACCTTTGACCTTGGACTCTGAGACTGTGTGAAAACCAGTGTCTGCAGTCGGAGGTGCCCGGTCTGTCGTCTGCTGCTATGGCAACCCTAGCAGGCCACTTCAGGCCCCTACCCATTATTTTAAACATTTTTTTGGCAAAGATTTCTATTATAATATTGCCCGGCCGGCGTGGCTCAGTGGCTGAGCGCAGACCTGTGAACCAGTAGGTCACGGTTCGATTTCCGGTCGAGGGCACAGGCCCAGGTTATGGGCTCGATCCCCAGTAGGGGGTGTGCAGGAGGCAGCCGATCCAAGATTCTCTCTCATCATTGATGTTTCTATCTCTCTCTCCCTCTCCCTTCCTCTCTGAAATCAATAAAAATATATTTTTAAAAAAAGAACTTATTTCCCTTATGATCATGATGAGAAAATGAAGAAAATTAAAGTACATATATCATCTCTTTATTGTACAATTTCACTGGACAAAATTTTTAAAAATCTATCTGATTTTCATTTTCTCTCTCACATCGATGTTCCTCTCTGTCTCTCCCTCTCTCTTCCACTCTCCCTACAAATCAATGGAAAAATACCCCAGGGCGAGGATTAACAAATAATCTATAATAATAAAAGCGTCATATGCTAATTAGACCAGACGTCCTTCCGGACGAAGCCGGGGCTGTGAGGGAAGCCCGGGTCCCGGGTGCCAGAGGGAAGCCGGTGCCGGCAGCCGGGGGAAGGAAGGCCTGCTCTTGCATGGATTTCGTGCACCGGGCCTCTAGTAATGATAATAAAATAGTCATTAATAAAGACCTGCACAAAGCCACAGACCTGGGTCAGAAACTTAAAAAAAGAAAGAAAAGGAAACATTTAAAAACTCAACTAGAGCCCTGACCGGTGTGGCTCAGTGGATAGAGCGTCGGCCTGCGGACTGAAGGGTCCTGGGTTCGATTCCGGCCAAGGGCACAGGCCCGGGTTGTGGGCTCGATCCCCAGTGGGGGGCCTGCAGGAGGCAGCCGGTCCATGATTCTCTCTCGTCACTGATGTTTCTCTCTCCCCCTCCCTTCCTCTCTGAAATCAATAAAAAATATCTTAAAAAAATAAAATGTGGCGCTTTGTGACCTGCTGTAGCCCAGGGCGCCTGGAGGCAGCTCCCGCCCGCAGCTCCCACTTCCTCCGGCAGCTGTCACCCGCCCGCAGCGGGGCTGCCGTGCATCCGTCCATCCAGTGGGAGGCTGGCCGC